TGATAAGGGTAGCCAGAGAGAAAGGCCAGGTTACTCACAAAGTAAAGCCCATCAGACTAACAGCAGATCTCTCAGCAGAAACTCCACAAGCTGGAAGAGAGTGGGGACCAATATTCAACATTCCTAAAGAAAAGATTTTTCAACCCAGAATTTCATAACCAGCCAAACTAAGTTTCATAAGAGAAGGAGAAATAAAATCCTTTAGAGATAAGCAAATGCTGAGAGATTTTGTCACCACCAGGCCTGCCCTACAAAAGATCCTGAAGAAAGCAATAAAAATGGAAAGGAACAACTGGTACCAGCCATTGCAAAAACATGCCAAAATGTAAAGTCCATCAACACTACAAAGAAACTGTATCAACTAACGAGTAAAATAACCAGCTAATATCATAATGACAGGATCAAGTTCACACATAACAATATTAACCTTAAATGTAAATAGAATAAATGGTCCAATTAAAAGACACAGACTGGCAAATTGGATAAAGAGTCAAGACCCATCAGTTTGCTATATTCAGGAGACCCATCTCACATGCAGAGACACACATAGGCTCAAAATAAAGGGATGGAGGAAGATCTACCAAGCAAATGGAAAACAAAAAAAAAGCAGGGGTTGCAATTCTAGTCTCTGATAAAACAGACTTTAAACCATCAAAGATCAAAAGAGACAAAGAAGGCCATTACATAATGGTAAAGGGATCAATTTAACAGGAAGAGTTAACTATCCTAAATATATATGCACCCAATACAGGAGCACCCAGATTCATAAAGCAAGTCCTTAGAGACTTACAAAGAAACTTAGACTCCCCTACAATAACAACGGGAGACTTTAACACCCCACTGTCAACATTAGACAGATCAACGAGACAGAAAGTTAACAAGGATATCCAGGAAGTGAACTCGACTCTGTGCCAAGATATAGACATCTACAGAACTCTCCACTCCAAATCAACAGAATATACATTCTTCTCAGCACCACATCGCACTTATTCCAAAATCGACCACATAGTTGGAAGTAAAGCACTCCTCAGCAAATGTAAAACAACAGAAATTATAACAAACTGTCTCTCGGACCACAGTGCAATCAAACTAGAACTCAGGACTAAGAAACTCAATCAAAACCGCTCAGCTACATGGAAACTGAACAACCTGCTCCTGAATGACTACCGGGTACATAACGAAATGAAGGCACAAATAAAGATGTTCTTTGAAACCAATAAGAACAGAGATACAACATACCAGAATCTCTGGGACACATTTAAAGCAGTGTGTAGAGGGAAATTTATAGCACTAAATGCCCACAAGAGAAAGCAGGAAAGATCTAAAATCGACACCCTAACATCACAATTAAAAGAACCAGAGAAGCAAGAGGAAACACATTCAAAAGTTAGCAGAAGGCAAGAAATAACTAAGATCAGAGCACAACTGAAGAAGATAGAGACACAAAAAACCCTCCAAAAAATCAATGAATACAGGAGTTGGTTTTTTGAAAAGATCAACAAAATTGAAAGACCACTAGCAAGACTAGTAAAGAAGAGAGAAGAATCAAATAGATGCAATAAAAAATGATAAAGGGAATATCACCACCAACCCCACAGAAATACAAACTACCATCAGAGAATACTATAAACATGACTACACAAATAAACTAGAAAACCTAGAAGAAATGGATAATTTCCTGGACGCTTACACTCTCCCAAGACTAAACCAGGAAGAAGTTGAATCCCTGAATAGACCAATAGTAGGCTCTGAAATTGAGGCAATAATTAATAGCCTACCAACCAAAAAAAGTCCAGGAACAGATGGATTCACAGCCGAATTCTACCAGAGGTACAAGGAGGAGCTGGTACCATTCCTTCTGAAATTATTCCAATGAATAGAAAAAGAGAGAATCCTCCCTAACTCATTTTATGAGGCCAACATCATCCTGATACCAAAGTCTGGCAGAGACACAACAAAAAAAGAGAATTTTAGACCAATATCCCTGATGAACATCGATGCAAAAATCCTCAATAAAATACTGGCAAACCGAATCCAGCAGCACATCAAAAAGCTTATCCACCATGATCAAGTGGGCTTCATCCCTGGGATGCAAGGCTGGTTCAACATACACAAATCAATCAACGTAATCCAGCATATAAACAGAAGCAACCTACAGAATGGGAGAAAATTTTTGCAATCTACTCATCTGACAAAGGGCTAATATCCAGAACCCATAAAGAACTCAAGCAAATTTACAAGAAAAAAAACAACAACCCCATCAAAAAGTGGGCAAAGGATATGAACAGACACTTCTCAAAAGAAGACATTCATACAGTCAACAGACACATGAAAAAATGCTCATCATCACTGGCCATCAGAGAAATGCAAATCAAAACCACAATGAGATACCATCTCACACCAGTTAGAATGGCAATCATTAAAAAATCAGGAAACAACAGGTACTGGAGAGGATGTGGAGAAATAGGAACACTTTTACACTGTTGATGGGACTATAAACTAGTTCAACCATTGTGGAAAACAGTGTGGCGATTCCTCAAGGATGTAGAACTAGACATACCATTCGACCCAGCCATCCCATTACTGGGGATATACCCAAAGGATTATAAGTCATGCTGCTTTAAAGACACATGCACACGTATGTTTATTGCGGCACTATTCACAATAGCAAAGACTTGGAATCAACCCAGATGTCCATCACTGACAGACTGGATGAAGAAAATGTGGCACATATACACCATGGAATACTATGCAGCCATAAAAAAGGATGAGTTCGTGTCCTTTGTAGGGACATGGATGCAGCTGGAAACCATCATTCTCAGCAAACTATCGCAAGAACAGAAAACCAAATACCACATGTTCTCACTCATAGGTGGGAATTGAACAATGAGATCACCTGGACACAGGAAGGGGAACATCACACACCGAGTCCTATTGTGGGGAGGGGACGGGGGGAGGGATAGCATTAGGAGATATAGCTAACGCAAATGACGAGTTAATAGGTTCAGCACACGAACATGGCTCGTGTATATTTATGTAACAAACCTGCACATTGTTCACATGTACCCTAGAACTTAAGTATAATAATAATAATAATAAACAGAAGCAGAGACAAAAACCACATGATTATCTCAATAGATGCAGAAAAGGCCTTTGACAAAATTCAACTGCCCTTCATGCTAAAAACTCTCAATAAATTCTGTATTAATGGAACGTATCTTAAAATAATAAGAGCTATTTATGACAAACCCACAGCCAATATCATACTGAATGGGCAAAAACTGGAAGCATTCCCTTTGAAAACTGGCACAAGACAGGGATGCCCTCTCTCACCACTCCTATTTAACGTAGTGTTGGAAGTTCTGGCCAGGGCAATCAGGGAAGAGAAAGAAATAAAAGGTATTCAGTTAGGAAAAGAAGAAGTCAAATTGTCTCTGTTTGCAGATGACATGATTGTATATTTAGAAAACCCCACCATCTCTTCCCAAAATCTCCTTAAGCTGATAAGCAACTTCAGCAAAGTCTCAGGATACAAAATCAATGTGCAAAAATCACAAGCACTCTTATACACCAGTAACAGACAAACAGAGAACCAAATCATGAATGAATTCCCATTCACAATAGCTTCAAAGAGAATAAAATACCTAGGAATCCAACTTACAAGGGATGTAAAGGACCTCTTCAAGGAGAACTACAAACCACTGCTCAGTGAAATAAAAGAGGACACAAACAAATGGAAGAACATTCCATGCTCATGGATGGGAAGAATCAATATTGTGAAAATGGCCATACTGCCCAAGGTAATTTATAGATTCAATGCCATCCCCATTAAGCTAACAATGACTTTCTTCACAGAATTGGAAAAATCTGCTTTAAAGTTCATATGGAACCAAAAAAGACCCTGCATTGCCAAGACAATCCTAAGCCAAAAGAACAAAGCTGGAGGCGTCACGCTACCTGACTTCAAACTATACTACAAGGCTACGGTAACCAAAACAGCATGGTACTGGTACCAAAACAGAGATATAGACCAATGGAACAGAACGGAGCCCTCAGAAATAATACCACACATCTACAGTCATCTGATCTTTAACAAACCTGACAAAAACAAGAAATGGGGAAAGGATTCCCTATTTAATAAATGGTACTAGGAAAATTGGCTAGCCATAAGTAGAAAGCTGAAACTGGACCCTTTCCTTACTCCTTATACGAAAATTAATTCAAGATGGATTAGAGATTTAAACGTTAGACCTAAAACCATAAAAACCCAAGAAGAAAACCTAGGAAATACCATTCAGGACATAGGCATGGGCAAGGACTTCATGTCTAAAACACCAAAAGCAATGGCAACAAAAGCCAAAATTAAAAGCGAGGTGCTTATTAAAAATACAGATTAGTAAGCCACAATCTGTAAGAAATAATGCTTTTCACTTTAAAGAGTCCTTTAGACAATTTCAACAGGTAGCAGTTTGGGGAAGCATTGAACTAGATAATTTTGGAGATACCTCAGAATTTTACAATTATAGGATTCTACACATTTTACATTCTCCATTAAATATATGCCTTTTGTAACTCCATATTTTGGCACTTAAGAACTTTGCACTAACTTTTGAAACTGTATCCCAAACTCTGTGGGAAGTTCCAAGTGGCCTACCTGATTTCTCCAGGTCCCTGAGGCACACTTTTGCCTTGTCTTCATTGGCAAGTACTTTTTGCTTCTGTCAAATTCTTGTCCTTTGCTCTGAATCTTGTGGCTGATTCTTCACTTTCTGCTTTGGTGTCAATTATTATCATCTGTTAATTCCTACACACAAAACAATTAATCACATTAAGGCCCATGGAGTGAACTTTATTGGAGACTTTGGCAGGGGGGGTGCGGAGGTTAGGGGAGTTCCTGCAGAGATAGAAACAACTTTGGAATAAGTACAAGGCAAACTTGTTCTACAAGTCTTCAGCCAGAGACAAGTTACTCAGACAGCCTCTCTCTCTGCCCTTCCTTCATGAATGGTGCCGATGGGAAAAAACACAGGTACCTGAGTGACCAGGGTGGAAGACACAAAGAGGTGAGTTTGACATGGATGGTGAGGCACAGATGGACGGTTGGGGAGGGTTGGGGAGGATCAATAATCCTAGGAGGAGAAGCAGAGCAGGTTGGAAAGGCCCTGAAATCTGCTGTTTGCGGAGTAGCTGACTGAGTAGGGGATTGGCTGGGAATTAGGCTGGAGACGTAGAGGCAGGGAGAAGTACATTTGTGTTCAGGAGCTTGTGTGATCAGGCAAACTGGATCACAGAGTGTTAGTTATATTAAATAATGTTAGGATTGAGCACAATTACTTTATTTAGAAAAGCCACAGATTTGAGTAGAAGGACATCAAAAGGTGGAGGACAGCATTTGAGCCTCCACAGCACAGAGTTCATATTCAGACAAGCAAATAGATACTTGGCTTTGTGAGAGCAAAGCTAAAAGCTCTGGTCAGCTTGTTGTATGTATTTGTGAACCCAAGAAACTTGAGATTTTTCCAAGTGTCTTCTCATTTGTTTGCTAGGCCAGTTCCCACTAAGGCAATTCCCTAAGTTACTGAGTACATGTTCTGACACTCAGAGTTTTTACTGAAGTCTCTTGTAATCCCCAAATTCCCTAGAAAAAATGTATTTCTACAGTTCATGTGTCATTGACATAGAATATCCTCTTATTTAGTTTCTGAACCAGAAACTGAAAACATTAAACGGTTCCAAAATGTCCTTCTAACTCAAGAACAGGATGGGTGCCCTTATTCTTTCCTTCCAGATCCTAATATCCTAATGCTAACATTTGATATCTTAATGTCACTCCTAAAGTAGGACTTATCACTGATTCCATTTGTATTCTTTCCCCACCCCATCCCATCCCAACTCCTACAAACACACACCACAATACACAACTAGATTCTAAGACTCTTGAAGGCAGGGACAATGTCTTCTCGCTGTGGTTTCCCCAGAATCTTGTTCTCCTCCTGACTTTAGGTGATATATACCTATGTGACAAATGAATGGACAAACGAGCTGTGTTTGTGACTCTTCCAGCTGAGCATGGGACAACAAGGGAAGATGGGAGGCAATAAGGAGCATGTCCATGGTAAGAACTTGTGTCTGGAGGGCACGTATGCCCTCTGTGTTTGTGCCTGGATTGGGTACAGAGGTGAGGAATGACTCAAGCCTGAAGACAGCTAAGATATGTTTCTTTTGGGAGAAAATTCCTTTAGCTATCTTCTAAAAGATAGAGGGGTTGTGACCAGTAGGATATCACAGTGAAGGCCCTGGCACTATCTCTGCTCCTGGTCTGCTGTGTGATGTTGTGGAAAGTCTTTTGACTGCTCTGGCCTCAGTAAGAGAGCATAGTTGAGGCTCTGTCCTTTTCTACAGGGTGAGGACCAAGGGTATAGAAGATCGAGTAAACATGATTTTACCAAAGAAAGTGTTGGAGAACAATGAGTAAGAGTTAAAATATTAGGAGAGCTCAAGGGAGAGAAAATGAGGGAGGGAGAAAGAGAGAAGAAAGGGAGACTGAGAGACAGAAGATGGGAAATGCAGACTGACTGATAATGACAAAGAGAGCACCTCTCTAACATGGTTCTGCTGTTGGATTTTACAAACTAAGATCCAAGTCAAGAAGGGGAGATGAGCGGGGATTCACATGCATCATTTCCTCTGAATGACCGACTTACATGGTGATGTAAGAGCAGAGTGATGACAGAGCCCAGTGAGGGCATTTAGTTGGGAGAGAGATGACATCCTGACTGAACAGGAAAAGGGGGGGTGGAATAAATTCCAATCATTTATTTCACATCCCACCTTAAAAGAAATGTCTCTGCCTACCTTCCATTTTGGCAGGGCACTACTTATTCAAATGATAAAGGACTCACTTGGTCAGGAAGCCGGCACTGCAGGACAGCCTGTGGATCAGGGGCATCATGAGTAGTTCAGTGTATGACAGGCTCTGTATCCAATATCCCACTTAATCCTGAAAGGAATCTTTAAGGTAGGTTAAACAGTTATTATCTGCATTTTTCAATATGAGGAAACTGAGGATAGCAGAGGTAAAGTAAGGTCAGAAATAATTACTGAGAAGAGCTATAAATGGAAAGGAGTGACTTTTGCCATACACCACAAAATAGTTGACTTGGAAATATTATGTGGTACTAGGGTGGGTAAGGAGTCATGCTAGACACTGTGACAGAAATGAACAAACTTTGAAATTTACCAAGAGAAGTGATACAAGAAGATTTTGGAAGGGTAGATTTGGAGAGCACCTCAGGGATTATCAAAATTCAACCCCCTTCATTTAAAATGTGACAAAAGTGAAATTCAGAGATCTTCCTGTACATGGACTTCAGACAGCAGCAGGGCAGATGCCACCATTCAGGTGTTCTACCTTCCAGGTATGGGCAGCTCTTAACACCCTGTAGGTGCCTCTCTCCTAATCAGAATTAGAGTCAGAAGTCAATTAGTGACTTTTGAATGGGACTAAGAAAATTCAGGAGCACTGGCTTTGTAATTTCCTTGCCCCTGTTAATACAATGGCAAAGGCTGGTATGGCCCAGTTGATTAGGAATAAAGTGTTAGGCTTTGATCTCTGGGGTGGGACGGTAGATTCCACTCTGTCTGCCACTGGCCTAGATAACTTTAGACCTTGAAGTCCCCAGAGCCCCTGCAGAGAGTAATGCCAGCCCTCAATGCCCAGATCCGGATGGGCAGGGACAGAGATTTCAAAAGAAGTTGACCTTAGAGAAGTGAAAACCAATATATTGCCTCACCCTCTTAGGCTCTGTATACAAGGCTGACCTAAAAACAGTTGCCTTGTATCAGCTCAGCTTCCCAGAGATTGGCTCAAAATCACAGACAGGGGCCTTAGAAATGGCACCAGGATCTGAATTTTAGTCAGGAGACCCCCAGATCACATTCCTTATCTACCACCCAAGCTGATACGGTCTCTTATTCCCAGCCCTCTCAAAGCAACGACTAAGATTCACTAAAGATGTTCCACGTGCCAGCCACTCTGCTCAGCATGTATGCGGATTAGCTCATATAACCCTCTCAAAAACCCTCTGAGGAACCATGGATATTATTACTCCCATTTTACAGAAGGAAATTAAGGCTCAGGGAGATTAAATAACTTCCCACAGCTACCTGGTTAGCCAGTGCAGAGGCGGTGGTTCAAACCCAGGGGCTGACTCTAGCCGCCGCTCAGATCCTACTCTCACTTCCGAAGGGTGGTTTCTGAAAGACTTGTTAGAGAGCCCACCACAGTTGCAGTTGTCCAGAGTGGGAAGGCCAATGCGAAAGCAGGGGAAATAAATCCCTGTGCAGCCTGCATGTGTGCAGATGACTAGAGAGAGCTACTGTCAGATGAGGTAATGGCCTGAAACTATAAAGGGTTCCCCCTGGAGAAAGGTTCCTCAAGCGCTGGGACATCAACAGGGGCATGCGGTGAAACCAAAGGGGACAGGACTGGATGAGTAAGGACCACCCGGGACCACAAATCTCTCATCAGATCACCTCAGTGAAGGTTTGCTTTAAAAAGCAAAAGTCGAACGCACTCTTCTCCTTGATTCAGAAGGCATCCAAGAGATCCGTTTACCTAGGTATGCTGGCTTAGGTTTGAAAGCTTACAAATAATTTATTCTCGCAGGTTCAGCAGAGGACACCCAGTCCCAGCAGGGGCGCACGCTGAGGCTCATCCTTATTGGGAGAACAGGGGCCGGGAAGAGCGCCACTGGGAACAGCATCCTGGGCAAGAGACGGTTCCTCTCCAGGCTGGGGGCCACATCTGTGACCAGGGCCTGCACCACGGCCAGCCGCAGGTGGGACAAGTGGCATGTGGAAGTAGTGGACACTCTGGACATTTTCAGCTCCGAAGTGCCTAAGACAGACCCCGGCTGTGAGGAGAGAGGTCGCTGCTACCTGCTCTCGGCCCCCCGGGCCCCACGCGCTGCTCCTGGTGACCCAGCTGGGCCGGTTCACCGCCCAGGACCAGCAAGCGGTGAGGCAGGTGAGGGACATGTTCAGGGAGGACGTCCTGAAATGGAAGGTCACCGTCTTCACCAGGAAGGAGGACCTGACGGGGGGCTCCCTGCAGGATTACGTGCGCAGCACAGAGAACCAGGCCCTGCGCAAGCTAGTGGCTGAGTGCGGGGGCCGGGTCTGTGCCTTTGACAACCGGGCCACTGGCCGGGAGCAGGAGGTTCAGGCGGAGCAGCTTCTGGGGCTGGTGGAGGGCCTGGTGCGGGAGCACGAGGGCACCCACTACTCCAACGAGTTGTACGAGCTGGCGCATCTCCTGCGCTGGGCTGGCCCGGAGGAGGGGCTTCGGAGGGTGGCGGAGGGCGTGGCCGCCCGCATGCGGAGGAGGCCGTGGGGCGCCTGGCTGCGGGCCGGGCTGTGGGCGTGGCCGAAGCCGCACTGGAGCTGGAGGCTGGGCCTGGCACTGCTGCTGGGGGGCGCACTCCTGTTCTACGTGCTGCTCCACTGGCGCTGGTCGGCGGCCTTTGCTGAGGTCAGATCTGACTGACAGATTGTAAACGTGGCTCTGACCCCTCAGCTGATAATCGCATTCATCCTCCTCACTTGGTGTTCAGAGCTCACAGACTCTCCTCTCCTCCCTCACCTCGCCTTAATCCACCACCGTGAGAGTTCTGCCGGGACCCATCTCCCACAAAACCGTCTCATACCACCCAGCCTCCCTGAGCATTCTCACTACTGAAGCCAAAGACCACTGTTGCTTTGCCTCTTCTCCAGTGGCCTTGGCTGTCTTTCCCTGCACTGAGTTTTCTTCTCTCCAGAGAACAGATGAGGGGTGCTTGTCCCCCATTCCCTGCAGTCCCCACAGGACCACAAGCAAGAACCATCCCAATGCAGAGCTTCAGTCCTTTGCACCCTTGTTTATTCGAATGGAATTTATTTCCATAAATAAATGTACTGCATGATCACATTGTGTCAAAGGAAATCAGTCTTTGTGGGTGTTTGCTCATCTGCCTTACATGCCCCCTGAAAAAAGACATGACTCTGTCAACCTTACCAGCAAAAACATGCACAGAAACACACACACACACACACACACACGAACATACATTCTTGTGTGTAGCCATAAAAGAAAGTATGTTGGTGTAAAATTTGCCATCTGCACCAGTTGGGGAGTGTCTCCCCATGTGTCCCCACTCAGACCCTTCAACAGTTGAATGCAGATGATTCTGCAAGTCCAAGGAGAATATAACTAGAGGCTCAATTCCCAGGGTTTATTGAGGGCCTGCACAAAGCTTACTTCAAGGAGGCTTATATACTCACAGAGTAAGTTATGCAAGATGAATTAGTTCTTGAGATCTGTTCAACTCAAAGATAAATTAAAAAATTAAGAGGTTTGGAAATTTTTATTTTACTAAAAAGGGGCAAACAGGTTTTTGTGGACTGAGAACCGGTGATACGATGATGGAATAGAGACTCCTCTTCTGACCCACACATACCTGGGAGAATCAGATTTCTGGTCCAGGTAAAATGAGGCAGGTTAGCCTGTGCTGTCTACCCCTACAGTTCCTCCATATTCCTCCACCCACATTGACTTTGTCTCCAACCCCACCACTCTCACCCACAGATTCCAGCTCATCTCTTCGGTGTTGCTCTGTAATTCCAAACCTCTCCCCTACAACATCTACCACCCATTGCATTCACAGCCAGAGAGACCCAGGTTACCGATGGCCTCGATGACTGAAGAGACAAGCAAAAAGGGAAAATAAGCTGCAACACCTGAGCTCATGCTGGAGAGCAAGCGCACAAGTCCCTCCTGGAAGCCATTGCACACATCAACAGGAACACCAGTGCCAATTGCTGAGACTTGACATTTCCTCAGCAGCAGGGGCTTTTAGGGAGTTGTGAACAGATCTTAGCAGAGGCCTTGGTAGGAAATCACTTTTCAATATACTCTTGCCGCGAACAAACAGAGAAAAGTTCTGCCATTGGCAGCCTGAAGAGAAAGGGAATGATCATTGATGAAAATCAGTGTGAAAAAAGAATAGCAAAGTGCCCATTGTAAGCAGTTGAAGGTTTTAACCCTTGACCCAAATCAAGTGAGAAACACTAGATTCTTGCTCTTTGGTTGAGGAGGAATGGGCCCAGGCAATTACTAAGGGGCAGTGACTCAGCTGGTGGGAATGTGGAAGGAGCACTCCAGGAATCCCAGAGAGGAAGTTGATTATCTGGTTCAACTGACACCCAGCTAGGGCTGAATGCAGGACATGCTAGGGAAAAGAGTGTGTTTAGTATGCAGTGTGTTACAAAGCTGTCTGTAAGTAGTGGGATATATACAAAAGGATAAAGGATGTCATGAAAAATACCTGAAACAAATTAATGGGTAAAAACAACCTACAGTGAGGAGACAACTGTATATCCACATACGAAAGAATGTTGGACCCCCTACCTCACACTATATGCAAATATTAACTCAAAGCAGATCAAATACCCAAATATAAGAGTTAAAACGATTAAAGTCTTAAAAAGAAAACAGGTGTGTAGCTTCATGACCTAGGACTAGGCAACAATTTCTTAGATATGACACCAAAAGCACAAGCAACTGAGGAGAAATAGATAAATTAGGTTTTCTGAAGTTTTAGTAAGGTGTACTTGACAAAAATTTTATATATTTAAGGCATATAATTTGGTGTTTTGATATGCATGTATGTTATAAAATATCACCACAATCAAGCTAATTCACATATCATTTCCTCACATAGTTACCTTTGTGCATGGTGAGAACATGTAAGATCTACCCTTTTAGCAAATTCCAAGGACAGTCATGAATTGCTTAATGACTGGTATGTGTTCGGAGATATGCATTATTAGGCAATTTTGGCATTGTGCAAACATTATAGAGTGTATTTACACAAACCTAGTTGGTATAGCCTACTACATACCTGGGTTATATGGCATAACCTATTATTTCTAGGCTCTAGAGAGAATGGGGTACCCACTCTGTAGAGAAGGGAACAGAGGTGGCACACCTTTGAGAGATACATCAAGCTCTGCTTCCATCCCATAGTATAGGGTTATATCCAGATTTCTCACCAGAAACCATGGTGGCCAGAAGTGACACAACATTTTTCAAGTGTTGAGAGAAAAGGGTTGTACAGCATGTTACTGTACCGAATACTGTAGGCAATTATGACACAATGGTAAGTATTTTTGTATGTAAACACATATAAACATAAAGACATAGAAAAGGCATAATAAAAATACAGTATAAAAGATAAAAAATGGTACACCCGTATAGGGCATTTACCATGAATGGAGCATGCAGGACTGGAAGTTGCTGTGGGTGAGCTAGTGAGTAAGTGAGTGGTGAGTGAATGTGAAGGCCTAGGACATTACTGTACACTACTGTAGACTTTGTAAACACTGTACACTTAGGCTACAATAAATTTATTTTAAAAATAAAGTAATTGCACTATGATGTTATGACAGCTAACATATTACTAGGCGATAGAAATTTTCAGTTCCATTATAATCTTAGAGGACCACCATCATATATGTGATCCATCATTAATTGACCAAAACATCATTATGCATCACATGACTACAACACTGTTAACTATAGTCATACAACTTTGTTAACTATACACAGGTTAACTATAGTCACATTGATTACATTAGAGCTCCATAGCTAACATTTTTTACTTTTTGACCAATATTGCCATTTTCATTCGCTTTAGCCCCAGGCAACCACCATTCTATGAGGTAGACTATTTTAGACGTCACAAATGAGTGAGACCATGCACTCTCTGTGTTCAACTAGAGACAACTCTAGTTGTCTCTCTGTGTTCAACATATTTCATTTAGCATAATGACTGGATTTCTTCAAAATTAAAATTTTTCCCTATCAAAGAATGCCACTAAGAAAGTGAAAAGACAACCCCTAGAATAAAGCAAAATATTTGAAAATAATATATCTGATAAAGATCAAGTATCAGAATATATAAAGAATTCTTACAACTCTAAAAATGACAAATACTTCAATTTAAAAATGGGCAAAAGATTTGAATAGACATTTCTCCAAGGAAGATACAAAAATGGCCAATAAACATATGAAAAGATGCTCATTATTATTGGTCATTAAGCAATGCAAATCAACAACCAAAATAAGATGCCACATCAGATCCACTGGGATGGTTATAATATTTTTAATGAAAAAATTAACAAATATTGATGAAGATGTGGGGAAATTAAACCCTTATACATTTCTGGTGGCTATGTAAAATGGTAACACTGCTGTGGAAAACAATTTGGCATTTCTTTAAAAAGTTAGACATAGACTTACCATATGACTCAGTAATTCCATTCTTGGTATGTGCCCGAGAGAAGTGAAGGCATATGCTCATACAGATACTTCTGCATGGATATTCACAGCAGCACTACTCATAATAACCCCAAAGTGGAAACAACACAAATGTCTGTCAACTGATGAATGGACAAACAAATATGGCATATTCATACAATGGAATGTTATCTACCCATAAAAAGCAATGAAATATAAGTACATGCTACAACATGAATGAACCTTGAAAGTATTATTCTAGGAAAAAGAAGACTGACACAAAAGATCATATAAATACATTATTCCATTTACCTGAAACCTCCAGAACCAGGGTGGACTCCTAAGAGTGTTCTTCAGAGGATTTTAACTTTAGTTTCTTGCATTCTGTTGACATTTATATTCTGCTTCACTTTTTAAGTTTTTCTCTACTCTTATTGTTGAATTATGTTCTCCACAGAAAAGATATATTGAAGTCCTAACTCCCATGCCTGTGAATGTGACCTTTTTGGAAACAAGGTCTTTGCAAATTTAATCAATTTAATCAAGTTCATATTTAGTTGAGTTAAAATTAAAGTCATAAGAGCTAGACTTAATTCAATTTAATAGTTATCTTTATAACAAGAGGAAGATTTGGACAGAGACACATGCAGAGAAAAGACAGCCATGTGAAGTCGAGGCAGAGATTTAGAGTTTTACTACCACAAGCCAAGAAACACCTGGGTCTATCAGAAACTGAAAGAGGCAAGCAAGGATTTTCCTTCAGCGGCTTCAGAGGGGGCATGGCCTTAACAACACCTTGATTTCAGACTCTGGACCTCTTGAATGGTGAGAGAATCAATTTTTATTGTTAAAGTCACCAAGTTTGTGATACTCTGTTATGGCAGCCCTAGGAAACCAGTATATCCTCCATGTTGAGATTCTCTAGTTAATCCTGGTCAACACTAATAATTATATGTTGATGCCATTCTGGGGATGAAAGGGAAGGTAGTATACAAGTGTCAGTAGGCAGGGCAGTGAGGGGAGTACAGGCTGCCTCCAACCACCCTCCTCTGAGAAAAGCACAATGGTAGCAGCAGTGACCAAGGGAGCACATTGATCCTGAAGGACAAGGTGCTGACCAAAACCAAAGCAAGGCAAGGCCCACTAGAGAACTAAGGGACATTCAAGCACAAAGTGATCCTGGAGAAGCAAATGCACAAGGAAAAACTTAAAAGTCCTATGACACTTATACTCCCGACACATAAATATATTGGGATGGGGAGAAGGTGCCTAAAATCTGTAGAGAGAGAACAGAGGTGGCACACCTTTGAGAGGTATATCAAGCTCTGCTTCTATCATAGTGTAGGATTATATCCTGATTTCTCACCAGAAATCATGGTGGCCAGAAGTAAGTGACACAACATTTTTCAAGTGTTGAGAGAAAAGGATTGTCAACCCCAAATCCTATAGCCAGAGAAAACATTTTTCATGAATAAAAGAGGAGTCAAGGTATTATTAGATGAAAAGAAATTACGAGAATTTGTCACCAGCAGACCTCTCTGCAAGACTAAGAGAAGTCCTGTACACAAATAGGAAACAATGCAAGAAGGAACGTGGAACACTAGGACGGAAGAAAGAACTCAGTAAGCAACAATATGAAGAAATGCAATAGACGTTATTCTTTTGAGTTTTCTAAATTATG